TTTGTTGTTTTTATTTTATCGCTGTGTTCGTTAAGAAGGGATGACCAATTCCAACTATGGAAGAGCTGGACTCTATTTACATGTTGAAAGACTAAAATGCAGAATTTGGATACTTTCATGTAGCACCTCGCGATAAGAAGTACGCCGATTTGGTGAAGAAGATACCTAGTCTCGACATGGGTGGAGACAAGAGCGGTTCTAGGTATTGGGAGAGTGGAAGACTCGTCGCCCATCTAGCCGTTTAGCGTATCTACCGATCAACTTTGTAGAGAAAATGCATAAGTATTCCATCGATCTTAACAATAGATATCTTCTATTATCGCCTGTAAATGAATTCTCTCTTTTCTTACATAGCGGACAAGACTACGCTTCCCATAGATGAGGTTTTCAAGGAGAAGTTGGAGGAAATTTTGAAGCTTCTGATCGAGGAGAAAAGTGTCGGTCTCTATGTGAGAGTGAGAGATTGGCTCATGCGAACCTGCAGCCGGGGTTTGACAATTTGTCATTCGAGCTAGGTAATTTTCAGGAGCTTTTGAATGCATTTTTGTTGGTGTTATGTTTGTTTTATGCATCGTGGAATTTTTAGATGATCTAATTGTTTGACCCAATGACGGGCATTGACGGGATGGCTCTATCTCATATACAGAGATCCAAGAAGAGGATCGAAAAATTGAATAATAATAATAATAATAATAATAATAATAATAATAATAATAATATAATAATAATAATAATAATAAGAAGAAGAAGAAGAAGAAGAAGAAGAAGAAGAAGAAGAAGAAGAAGAAGAAGAAGAAGAAGAAGAAGAAGAAGAAGAAGAAGAAGAAGAAGAAGAAGAAGAAGAAGAAAGATCGTCAAGTCAGGGTGCGACATCGACTGCATAGGGATCGTCGAAGCTTATGAAATCAGTTGTGGGATTGCCACCAAGAACGTGGACGCAAAGGATCAGCCTGAAGCGCCGATCAGATAAGCCATCAGGTAAATCCGCCAGTCGGTCAAACCCACCTCTCCAAGAGCTTAACCAAATATTGATTGATGGAGGATCAACATTCAACATCTTGCTTTTTTGAACGCTAAAAGAAGTAGGAATGACTATCGATGAACTTGGTAATAGTTGATTGATGATTCAAGGATTTAACCAAGGGGTACAAAGAGCTCTTGGCATCATAAGATTGAGTTTATTGATGGAAGAAATGGAATCAACCGCAATGTTCCATGTTATCAATGCAAAAAATTCTTACAACATGCTTCTTGGTCGTTCATGGCTTCATAAGAATGACGTAGTTCAATCCACATGCATGACATCAATGCTTTACATATTGCAAAAAAGGCGTAGTGGAGGCTGTATTTAGTGATGATAAACCTTTTACAGATGCTGAAACTCATATCTTTGATGTCAAATACTATTTCAAAGATGCAAAATCAGTTAACAAAGTCCCGTCTAAGCAGCAAAAAGGATCTGAAAGAGCAGAACCAAAAAATGAAAATGTATACAACTCTTCAAAAGATATGTTGTTCACTGCCAACGATAAATGGAAGGAAACCTATTTCCCAACCACACATTAAGTTTGTTCGTCCAAGCGAAAGAGTCGTGATGGAGAATGGTGAAAAACTGCAAAACTTTAAATTCTTTGATCCTAAAGCGTACAATATTAGAGTTATAAAATATATCATAACTTAATACAAAAAATTAGAGTTATAAAATATATCATAACCTAGTATTATCTAATAAACAATATTAGAGTTATATAATATTCATAACCTAATACAACAGTGTGTTATGGACGATAATGTCATTTTTTGAAAATGATAGATTATAATTAATAAACACAAATATTTACATACTAAGACAACCAAACTGCTAAATCAGTCATTACTAAACTGAAAGTAGCGAAGAATTATCCCGACAGAGTACTACTGCTCTCAGGTATCCTAGAGCCACAAACTCAAACTAAGACAAAAAACTAAACTCCCACAAGTGGAGGTTGAAGCTCCAACAATGGAGAATAACATACCCACAGACCTAAACACACAACAACACAACAACACACGCCTAAACTAACAATAGAATACCACATGCCCTGTATCTCGCGAGCACACCGCTACAACCACTTTAACCAGCACACGGTTCAAATCCCGCAACGAGCCAAATTCCACAATCAATAACAAAGAGAGTTGCACATCTAAGCCCCAGAACTACAAAATCCAACTTACTCAAGTGGCTAGTTAGATCTAACGATGAGACAAGTCTCGACCTAGATATGAGCTCCCGAAGTCTTCATCCAGGAGAGAAACGAATGACTTGAGAGTTGACCCGACAAGCCACGCCGAAAGAGCTGACGCTTTTACCAAAAAGGGGTCCAACCGGACCCATATCTGTCGAGCGAAAGGCCATATGGACACAATCGGCTCGCCCCGAGGTTGGATGCCAGTTGTTGCTAGAGGGCTGTCAGGCGAGAAGAGGTTAGAGGCAACCCAAAATTTTTTCCTGTTTGTGCTTTTGCCGGATGGGGTTTTGAGATAAAGAGGCTCAATTTTTGGGGACTGAAATTTGGAAAGAGAGAAAATATCTTGACAATAATGACATATTGAAGAAGAAATATAAACTATTTTATGATGTTAGATGAGGATTCGATCTCATTGGTAACTATAGTATAGTCACTTGGTTTTTGTTACCTTGGATTACTAAGGCTACAAATTAGTCGAGCAACTCGTGTCAAAACTTGACTCGAGTTTGAGCGGCTCGAGCACGAACTCAAGTCGAGCTCGAGCTCATATTTTGCATTGTCGAGCGGCTCGATATATATATATATATATTAAATTACTGAAATACTCCTTGTATATATTTAAATAATATAAAACAAGTGTTTAATGGTAATTTTACTTAAAATTTTCGAACCGAGCTCGAGCACTCGAGCAGCCAAAATAAAATTCAATTCTGCTCGATAAGGCCAATGCTCGGCTCGACTCGATTCGTTTGCGGTCCTAATTAAAACACATCCTTGCTCATATAAATATGTGTTGATCAAAAGAGAAAAAATTGAATCAAAATGTATCTATAATCCTATACTGTGTTGATAAAAATAAAGAAATGCATTGGAATTACAAGAGAAATGCTCACCTACCCACGGTGGACACATGTTAATATGCCCACTGCGTAGGTGACATACATCACAATGAATGCATGTCACCTACGCAGTGGACATATTAACATGTGCATACCGTGAAATTACAAATAATTTTTTTTTTTTAAAAATAAGTAGGTTTACACGTGTACTCATGACTTGACACCTACACAACATGAAAGTAACACAAAAAGACACATCACCTTTTTCACCGACTTTTCTCGCTACCCCTCGCACACCTTTGAAACAATTTCGTACAGGAAAACACGGGCAAATCAAAGTTTTACTTTTACATGTGCCCAGTCTCGAGAGCTCCCAGGACAGGCAAAAATGGCAGCCTTGAAATGGGGGACGCGGCCGCCGTGGGTGGGCCTCGGAGCGGCCGTGTGGGTTCAGATAGCTTCCGGTAATGCATACAACTTTCCTCTCTACTCCCACTCGCTCAAATCCGTCCTCGGTTTCAACCAGCGCCAGCTAACCTTGCTCGGCGTCGCCAACGACATCGGAGAAAACGTGGGTATTTTGCCTGGTCTCGCCTGCAACAGGTTCCCGCCGTGGGTTGTTCTCGCGATAGGTGCCTTTTCGTGCTTCCTCGGCTATGGGGTTCTCTGGCTCGCCCTCAGTGGCGCCGCGGTTTCCTTGCCCTATTGGGTGGTGAGCTATTGCCTCTCTTTTCGGGCCTATTTCCCCGTTATATTTTTCGATTTTGCGATTTTGATTTTGTGGGCTGTGGGTTTAGTGCGGGAGGAGTCTGAAGGGTTTAACGAGTTTTTCTTGAGTAATTCTAACTTCACCTTTCTCCGGGAATATAGATTTCTGCTTTCGTTGTAGCTAAGAATTGCTTGATCCTCTTCCCCCTGACTCCATGTGTGTGTGTTGCGTTGTGTTGTGTTGTGCGCAGATATTCTTGAAGTTGCCTTGTGGTATGATACTTAAGGCACCCCGGTGTTTGATTGACATTGTTGAATGGTAACTTGAGATTACATTTGTCCCAAAGGTTTTTTTCCATATATAACATTGTTTCTGTTTTACTTGGTTTAGCTGTGCTGATCTTCAAATGTGATTTCAACATTTGCGGCTTATAATTAGCACATACATTGAATTGAAGAAAGAGAGTTGGTTTGTAGCACATGAGTGGAAAGCTGAACTACTTGGTCGTTTCGTGTGTTCAGCAGAAAAAAATTAAGAGAAAGATGTTATCTAAGCTTATTTCTATAGTCTTAGGCTTAAAGTTCAATGGAATATGTAAATTAAAGTGATAGTCACACATTAAATCTTCTGTTAGCATATTAATGAAGGACAATGGCTAAGCTGAATCTGTCGTCTTGAACTTTCATTCTCCAGAAAAGCTATAATATGTTGAGTGTCGATTGGATAAATCTTCTATAGTGTTATTAGTAAGCTGATGAAAAATATTAAATCCATGAGGTTGATGATTGATCACAGACGTTGTACAGTTTCCGGGTGCATCGATAGCATTGGAAGATCAATATTACATTCAACAATTTATCCGTCTAACACATGACATGACTACATCTGACACAACTTGCTAGTTCAATTATTTCAGTCCATACTTGTCAGATATTCTCCATATTTAATTTAACTCGTGTCTTATTTTTAGTATCGGTTGTCACTGCTAACTTTTTTACTGTAAACACACAACAAACTAACACCAATCTCGTGAAACCAAGACTGAGTTTCTATAATAAACAAACTGAGTCGATTGCTCTTTTGCAGTTATGGATTGCGTTATGCATCGGGACAAACAGCAGTGCCTGGTTCAGTACAGCTGTTCTGGTCACAAACATGAGGAACTTCCCCCTCAGCCGGGGCACGGTGGCCGGCATCCTCAAGGGGTACAGCGGCCTGAGTGCCGCCGTGTACACTGAAGTGTACAGTGTTCTGCTTGGCGGCTCATCTTCTAAATTCCTAATGTTCCTCGCCCTTGGAATTCCTGCCATCTGTCTCATGATGATGTCATTTGTGAGACCGTGCGCTCCAGCATCAGGAGATGACCCCTCGGAACACAAGCATTTTGTTTTCGTCCAGGTAGCCAGTGTGATCCTGGGCGTGTATGTTCTTACTACTACCGTTTTGGATGACATGCTCAATCTGAGTCGTGCTGTGAGATATGTTTTTCTTGTTGTGATGGTGCTCCTTCTCATGGCCCCGCTTGCTGTCCCGGTTAAGATGACTTTCTACAGGTCAAAGTTAACTCTCGGTGAGTCTCGCTCGAGTGGTAATAATGCTGGCATGATAGAGCCACTTATGGAGCCATCCTCATCGACTCCGAATCTTGAGAACTTACGTGATGGGGAAGATGTGAACGTGCTTCTTGCTGAGGGAGAAGGAGCAGTTGAGAAGAAAAGAAGACCGAGGAGAGGGGAGGATTTCACGTTTTTCGAGGCTATGGTCAAGGCCGATTTCTGGCTCCTTTTCTTGGCTTACTTTGTCGGGGTGGGTTCCGGGGTGACTGTTTTGAATAACCTGGCTCAGATAGGTATAGCACAGTATATGCACGATACAAAGGTTCTGCTGTCCCTCTTTAGCTTCTGTAATTTCGCGGGTCGTCTTGGTGGAGGTGTTGTCTCTGAGTATCTTGTAAGGTTAGGTTTCCTTTCTTTTT